CCCCCCCAAAAAAAAAAAAAAAATCCGAGCCCTCAAGCCTTATGCCCTTAACCCTGCATCCCCCCATGTGGGTAGTTCTCTGAATTCGGAAATACCTTGAAAAAAGGACCCGAAAACGGACCCGAATTCAAAGAACTACCCAAATACATAGAGCACTTATAGTAGCTACCCTTCTAGAAACCCTCATAGATCCCTTTAAGGAGCCCTAAAAGGAACCCTAACTTAGCGAAGTGCCCATGTACAATTTCAAAACTCCCTGAAGGTCGGGCGGGCAAGAAGGCCGGGGGCTCGGGCTCGGGGTTTTTAGAGTTTTGAGGCTTTAGTGGTTTAGGGTTTAGCGGTTTAGGGTTTAGGGTCTATAGGGTTTAGGGTTTAGGTTTAGAGTTTTAAGTTTTATCAGTTTTCAATGCTATGGGTTTAGGGTGGAAAGGTGCCGGGTGGTACGAAACTGGCTTGGGTTTAGAATTTTGTTTCCTATGCGGGGTCCAGGTTTCTAACCTGAGTAGAGCTCAGACGAGGAACACCTCATTTAGGGTTTGGGTTGAGGGTATCGGTATCTGGTACAGGCGGTATGGGGTTGGCTTCACGGTTTAAGGTTTCAAATCTTGCGCGTTCAACTCAACACCATTAAAACTGAAAACTAAACCCTAAACCCCAAGCCCAGTGATTTTCGGGCTGAAGACCTCATGCCTAAGTACCTAATTTCTGCAACTCTCCCCCAACAACAAGGCCTCAAAGCTGCTGGAAGACCCAGGAAGCCCTTAAACCCTACAACTCGAAATACGAAGCCCTACAACCCCCAAGCCCTAAACCCGAAACCCGAAACCCCTACACCTTAAACCAGGGTTTAGGGTTTAGGGTTCCCTAAACCTTAAAAAGACCCTAAACCCCCCAAGAGCCTAAAACCCCTAAACTCCGCCGAGTGCGTGGGCATCGTTTTGGCGCTCCTGGCCGGTGCTCTCACCGGGGTCCAGAGCTCCTCGGAGCCAGGGGATGCAACGGGGCTAGTTCTGGGTTTAGGGTTTAGGGTTCTGGGTTTAGGGTTTGGGGTTCTGGGTTTAGGGTTTAGGGTTTGGGGTTTAGGGCTAAAGTAGGGTCTCTTTTTAGGTCCCCAATTTTGCCACCAGTACTACCAGCCAGGGCACCCAAATTTCGAGAACTACCTGTATAGAGCTTTGAAGACGCATAGCTTTATTCGTCGTATCATTCTTCTCAACACCCTCCTGGCACCCCAGCCCTGAAACCTCCATCTCTAAACCCAAAAACAAAATACCCCGAAACACGAAGCCAGAAATCCAAAAACCCTAGACCCAAATCCTTAAAAGCTGCGCCAATCTTCTGTCCTACAGTTGCCTTAACCCTTAACCCCGCAAAAGCGCAATCAATATTTCAAAGTTTTGTTCAATTCGATCAATTCGGAGAGCCATTACCCCTAGCCGTAGCCTGCTGGTCTGAAAATGAGAGTTGAGTTGCTGTTGGGTACATACCTGTGCATTATATTGCAGTTTGTTTATCGGGACTGGGTGTGTAGCATCAGAGTTGAGTTGTACAGCAGCTCCACCTACTTTCAAACATTTCAAGACACAATTTGGATGTCTTCTGCTTTTTGTTTCTGTGGCCAAGGTGTTCCGGCGGCTCTCTACAACCAGAAGTGCCCCAGACCTTTGACAGTTGACACATTACACTGATCATTACACCGTCAGGCCCTTCACCCTTAACCTTACGACCCGAAACCCGCAACCCACCCAAAGCTTGGGAGGTACTCCCAAGCACCGGCTACGGATGTGGTCTTTCCCCAATGCTTGGGCATTTATGTATGTAGCAGCCGCTCGGACATCAAGTTGAAAGGTCCCAGCCCGCGGTTTAGGGCTTAGGGCTTGGCAGGGCCTGGGTTGTACCGTAGAATTTTGGACTTAAGGTTCATAGGCTTCTGGTTAAGGATTGTAGGGTCGGTCTGAGTCGCAACCCCGAAGCCCGCCCAATGCATTTTGGATCTTCGAAGCTTGGGCTGTTGTTGGAGGTGATGTGTGCGCAGCATTGCTGAGGAGAGTTCATGGGACTGTTGGGTTCCCCATCACGATGGTGTAGGCAGGGGGCACTGTTCAGATGTACATGGTTCGCCTTGTGTATGCCGCACGTTAAACCAATCCACCCCCGAGGACGTAGAAACCCTGATCTCTAACCTTTCTAACGCAGAACAACGTCAGCAGTGCCGCCATGCGTTGGGACTGTCGCAACATGTCACATTAGGCCGATATCGCCCCAAACCTGAACCGTTTCCCGACAGCTTAGGATGTGAATTCATGCTATGAGTCCCAAAAATGTTG